TCTCTAAGTCTCACAACATCCCCAAGATAGGCCTCAGTGCCCCATTTTATATATAAATATATAAATATGACATATATATATATATATATGAATCTTGGAGACCATGTAACCAGCAGGTGGTAGAGCCAGAATCAAGGTGGGGTCTAGCATCAAAACCCAAGCTCCTCCATTTCACCAAACTGCCTCCCTTTGAGAAGAGCTCTAGTATGTTATCTTTACTCATCAGCAGCATTATTATCTTTATATGCAGGCAAATATGCTGAGACTTAGACTTCGCCAGTGAGGAAGCCAACATTGGAGTCAGATTTGACTCTGAAAACTTTTGCTTTTTCCACCACAGGATGCTACCTTCTGCAACAATTCTACTTTATAAGGTGTATATTTGCTTTGTAAAGTATACTTGCTACTTTGTACTTCATAAATTGTGTACTTGCTTTGTAAGTACTCAAGTTGCAAGATACAATCACTTTAAATGCCCTTTAATGAAAAAGTTTCATGTTTTGACATTTGAATTGTGGCTTTGGATGACACTTCTTCCCTTCTGCTTTTCTGCCTCTGTCTCAGCTTCCCCCTCCACTTGTCCTTGGAATGATTCATCGTTCCATCTCCTTTTCAGCGGGCATAGATTGTGCCCTGAGGGTGCTTACAGAACTTGAAATATCAGCCAGAATGCCACCTTTAAATTACAGTGAGGAATGGGGCTATTGAGCTCTCGGGTGACTCATGTTTGTTGATCAGTACCTTCTCTCCCTCTGGGCAAATCTACGTGGGATGTTCAATTTATAACTGGGAGATGGGTTGGCAAAAGAAGATTTGAAACAAGAAATTAAACGAGGTGACTGCCAGTGACAGGCTACAATGGTTCGATTAATTGACTATTGCATTTAGGATTCTGTGGCCAAAGACCTGGACTGGTGGAGTCCTTGGACCAGGGTGTATACTCTCTCAAGCAGGGTTACTGTAGAGTGTGGAGACATTGTTGTTGTGCTTAACATACTCCAACAATTTTTAAGAGTTTTTAAAGTAAGGTGTTCAGTAAGTATAAAAATATTTATGGAATATGTATGAGTTATAAAGGAGAGATACAGTGAATAGCCACTGTTAAGACCAGACACAGGACATTGCCAAGATCATTGAAGTTTCTTGTGTGCCCCTGTCTCATGTATCTGATATCCTTTCTCAAATAACTATGAAGCAGCATTTTGTGAATATAATTTTATTTTTTTCATCATCACATTACCTTTTTCTTGAATCTCTAAACATATTAGCTTTATTATGTAAATGGGATAGTGTCATATGTATTTTTTATCAACAAATTTAAAAGTTCATGTTGTTTTGTTCATTGAATTTTACTAGTACATAGTAATCCACTGTAGTAACACACAACTTATTTATCCTGTTATTGATGGACATTTGGGTTGTTCAGAATTTGTTAAGATAATAAATAATGCTACTATACATATTCTTGGCTATTTTTCTTGGTGCATATGTGCATGGATTTCCAGGAGTGTATTCCTGGGTCCTGGTGTATACACCTTTTCAATTTTAGTAGAAAAAGACAAACTGTGTTTTAAATGGTTGTAGCAAGTATTTGATATTCCTGCTAGCAGGATAAAATCCATCCTTTGTCACATCCTTGCCAGCATGTTATGTTGCCAGAGTTTCATTTCCATTGTGGGTATGTGGTTATTGCATTGTACTTTAATTTACACTTCATCATTTCTAATAAAGTTGAGCATCTTTTCCTGTATTTATTTCTACTTATGATTATTCATCTGTGAAGTTCATATTCAACATTTTGTCCTTTACTATTGAATTGGTTGATTTTTTTCTTTTTAATTGATTTGCAGGAGGTTTTATTTTGATTTAAACATATATTGGATATTCATTTTTTAGCTTTATGTGTTAAATTGTCTTTTGTCAGTTTATGTATTTTCTTTTAATTATTTTTGTATATTTTGAGTGAAATTACAAAAGTTAACTTTTCCATTAAAGCAGGTCATATGTCATTAGCTTTGTCTTTCTCATCTAAGACTTAATGGTTTTTAAATGTAATGTGTGATAGGAATTTTGTTCCATTGTGGATACTAAATGTTTCATGATAATTTAGTGAAAAATATGTCCTTCCTTCAATGACTTGCTAAATACCTTTTGTCATATATCAAAGATCCACATGTGAGTAGATCTGTTTTTGAATGTTCTATTGTTTCATTTGACAAGACCCCATCTTATTTATTATACTTTTATAATTTTAAGTATATGATACAGTAAAAAAAACCTTTCTTCTTCTTCTCGGCTTTTGCTCTTCCATATAATTTTTTAAATATTTTATTTATTTATTTATTTAGAGAGAGGGGAAGGGAGAGAGAAAGAGTTGGAGAGAAACATCAATGTGTGGTTGCCTCTCATGTGTCCCCTACTGGGGACCTGGCCCACAACCCAAGCATGTGCCCTGACTGGGAATCAAACCGGCGACTCTTTGCTTCACAGGCCCATGCTCAATCCACTGAGTTTCACCAACCAGGGCCCATATAAATTTTTTAATCAGCTTGTCAAGTACCACAAGTACTACTGAGATTTAGATAAGAATATCATTGAAATTACCAACCAGTTTGGGAAAAATTAGTGTTTCTGTGGTAGCAAGTCTTTTTTTATCTATGTATATTTTGATATGTATTTAGGTTTTCTTGGTCTTTCAAAAAATTATAATTTTTCATAAATTTCTTGAATAATTCTTATTCTATATATTTTATAATTTGGGTGTTATTATAAGTATCTTTAAAGATTTTTATGTTTGCTGAAATTTAGTTTTTGAAATAAATTTTTATTTTTTAGATTAATTTTGAAAAATTAATTTATTAATTGATTTGTTATGTAAAATTAAACTTGCACTCCTGGGGCCAACCAAATTATGTATTATTATAACATACACAAACACACATAAACTAACACACGTACACTTCTGAATTGTGGTTGTCAATATTCTAATTTTTATATCTGTGTTCATGAGCAAGATTGATCTGTAATTTTGTTCTCATGCTACACTGGATTTTGTATCAAGGTTATGTTCACCTAATAAAATGAGGTAAGGATATCCTCATTCATCTATTCACTAGGATAGGTTGTATGAAATTGAAATTACTTTTCCTTCTATGTTTGCAAACTTCTTCCTTGACTTCTTTCTGGAAATAGTCTTTGGGACCTGGTTTTTCTGTAGGAAGATTTGAAACTTCTGATTAAATTTCCTTTATAGTTATATGAATGTTTGTATTTCCCATTTCTCCCTAAGTTCTAACTATATTTTAGTCATGTTTTTTCTATAAGTTTATCTACTTCATCTGAATTTTCAAATGCATCATATGAAATTATTCATAATTCCTACTTATTGCCTTTTTAGTCTTTGAGGCATTTTTTATTCCTAACATTGTTTATTAGTATCTTTTCAAATAAGTATCTTCAGAGATGTTTGTTTTGTATTATAAAAGAACCTTGATTATTTTTTGAATCTTGATTATTTTTACCCTGATATTTTTCTAGAAAACTTTTTTCCTTTCTTATAAAATCATTTCCTCTGTCAAGCCATGGCATTTAGGATTTGATATTATACTGGTCACTTGAAAAATCACCTTTTCTCTCACAAGTACCTTACATGCTTCTTAAGCATAAATTTGGAAAAATAATTATGAAACTAGTTTTATTGGGGCTTAGGATATGAAATGTGCCCTTGTACAGTCTTAAGTAGGAGACAGATTGGATGCTCATACAAACCTTTCACTAATTTACTTCCCTAAGCTTTTGCAGACAGGTCTGAACAGGTTGTTTTTCAAATCCTCTAAGCCCCTTACTAGTACAGAACATATCAGAAAAGGACAAACAGAACCCTGCCTGCTTCCTGCAGGGGCAAAGGTGAAGAGTGGGATTTGATCTAAAGGTCATTGAATCCCAGTGTGCAACATCCAACTTTAGTTTGCATCACACTTTCTCACCTTTGCCCTGTGAGCTAAACGGAATCATATACCCACCTGTATTCAGGCAGGACCCATGCTTGCTTCCTTCATTTAAGTACCTTCCTCTGCCTGGAATTCTTGTCTCTTTTTTGCCCAAATCATGTCCATCCTGAAAATATGTGATGGAGAACTGTTAGGGTTGCTGCCTAGCCTACGCCACTCCTTTGAATTCTTTTTATTCTCTGTCTACAGTAGTGGCTTCTGTTGCTTTGTTTGTTACACATGACCTTTCTACATTTACCATTGTTCATATGACTAAAGTTGACACCTGACCAAAGCTGAGACACTCAGATCCTCTCCTCTGATAACTTGGAACTGGGACTCAGAGTTTCAGTTAGTCTCCAGTGATACCTCTGGGACCCAGATGGTGCAGACTGAGGGCTGAGGATGTCATTCTTCACAACCATGCTCACAAGTAGAGAAAGCCATTCCATAAATAGAAGGAAAGTCAGATGCACAGAGAAAAGCGAGGGACATAGGTCTTGTGACTCTGAAAGGACAGACATAGTCACGTCACCTCTGCTTCATTTGGCAAAGATTCCTGACTCCATATTTCATTATGTTGTGCTGTACTTTTCACATTTAAGTGTCAGGAACCACCCTTGTATCTTATGGTAAAAGCCCTCCCCCTCCCCCCACCAAAATCAAGTGAGATTCTGTTTCTTGCAACCAAAAGAAATTTAATAAATACATCTCCTCTGTGAAGCCATTCTCTATTCCTGCTATTGAGAGAAAAATCAAGTGGCTACCCAATTTATTCCTTTGTTCATTTGTGATCTATCATATTTATTAAAAACACTCCTCTACTGCTACTTTTTATTGCTCAATTTTGGGTTTATACTGACTTCTAGACAGGGAGAATGGGAACGTGCTTTTGTTACTGTCCTCTCCTCTTTTTCTTTCTTTTTCCACTTATGTTGATTCAGAGCAAAATGTAACATTTTCACACTTGTTGAAATCATTCTGATGAAACTCTTTCTCTTTTCTCTGCAGCTTCTGCCTTCTGGGATTTCTATTCAGGGGCTGCCGGCCTGCCCAGAGTCTCCTCGGCCCATCTTTGAGGGACCTTCAAAGCTAAGCACAAACAGAAGCAAGCTCAGAGTTCTCTGTTTACCAAAGCCACAGAGGCTGGTCACCTAAATTACTGGTCTACACAGGACAAATAGAATATATGAGTATTCCGTCAATGAGAAAAATAAATAAATACAAATGACTAGGAGAATAAAAACAACAACAATAATAATGCTATCTTACATTATATGTCATTGGACCCATTCTTTTTTTTTTTTAAGATTTTATTTATTTATCTTTAGAGGGGAAGGGAAGGAGAGAGGGGGAGAAACATCAATGTATGGTTGCCTTTCATGCGTCCCCTGCCGGGAACTGGCCCCTGCAGGGAACCTGCCTGCAACCCCAGTATGTGCCCTGACTGGGATCGAACCGTGATTGTCTGGTTCGCAGGCCCGCGCTCAATCCACTGAGCTACACCAGCCAGGGCTGGACCCATTCTTAATAATAAACTTATTTTCAAAGGCTATTGTTATTTTTGAAATATATTTGATTAATTATGCTATTACAGTTGTCCCATTCCCCCCCTTACTCCCCTCCACCCTGCACTCCCCTCCTATCTGCATTCTCCCCAACTCGCCCCACTTAGTTCACGTCCATCAGTCACACATGTAAGTTCTTTGGCTTCTCTACTTCCTATACTATTCTTAATCTCCCTGTCTATTTTGTACCTACCATTTATGTTTCTTAGTCCCTGTACCTTTTCCTTTATCCTCCACCAACCCCTCCCCACTGATAACCCTCCATGTGATCTCCATTTCTGTGATTCTGTTGCTGTTCTAGTGATTTGCCTAGTTTGTTTTTGTTCGGTTGTGAGTTTGTGAGTTTGTTGTCATTTTACTGCTCATATTTTTGTCATCTTCTTTTTGTAAGATTAAATCCCTTTAACATTTCATATAATATTAAGGGGTTGGTGCTGGTGAACTCCCTTAACTTGAACTTTTCTTTAAAGCACTTTATCTGCCCTAAATGATAGCTTTGCTGGGTAGAGTAATCTTAGATGTAGGTCCTTGACTTTCATGACTTTGAAGACTTCTTTCCAGCCCCTTCTTACCTGCAAGGTTTCTTTTGAGAAATCAGCTGATAGTCTTTTTTTCAAGTTTTTAAAAAAAATTATTTTATTGTTATTCAATTACATTGTCAGTATTTACTCCCCACAACTCCACACCCCCCCCAGGCAAACCCACCAGCTGATAGTCTTATGGGAACTCCTTTGTAAGTAACCATCTCCTTTTCTCTTACTGCTTTTAAGATTCTCTCCTTCATTTTAATCTTGGGTGATGTAATTCTGGTGTGCCTTGTTGTGTGCTTCCTTGGGTCCAACTTCTTTGGGACTCTCTGACCTTCCTGGATTTCCTGGAAGTCTATTTCCTTTGCTATATCGAGGAAGTTCTCCATTATTTTTTCAAATAAGTTTTCAATTTCTTATTCTACCGCTTCTTCTTCTGGTACCCCTCTGATTTGGATATTGGAATGTTTAAAGTCATCCTGAAGGTCCCTAAGCCTCTCTTCATTTTTTTTGAATTCTCGTTTCTTTATTCTGTTCTGGTTGAATGTTTATTTCTTCCTTCTGCTCCAAATCATTTTTTTTGAGCCCCAGTTTCCTTCTCATCACTGTTAGTTTCCTGTGCATATTTATTTTACTTTTCGTAGCCTCATTTTTACCTCTATTTTGCCACCATACTCAATCATTTCTGTGAACATGCTGGTTACTAGTGTTTTGAACTCTGTATCTGGTAGGTTGGCTATCTTTTCATCACTTAGTTGTATTTTTCTGGAGCTTTGATCTGTTCTTTCATTTGGGCCATTCTTTTTGTCTCAGTACTCTCATTACATAGTAAGGGGTGGAGCCTTAGGTGTTTACCAGGGCGGGGCAACCCACATTGTTGGGTTGTGATGCTGTATGTAGGGGAGGGAACAATGGTGCCTGCTCCCCTCTCTGCCGGATTTTAGTCACTTCCTCTGCTACCCACAAGCAAAGTGGGCCCTTCTGGTGCTGATTTCCAGGTACGTGGGTTTGTGTACATTCTAGGACCTTGTGTATTTCTCCAACAAACCCTCCTGTGAGGCTGGGAGTTTCTCCTGCTGCCTTAAACCCCACAGGTTTTTTCAGTAAGAGGTTTTGAGGCTTTGTTTTCCCACACTGGAACCCTGGGTTGTGCAGTCTGTCTCACTTCTCAGTTGTTCTTCCCAGTTTATCTGCATGCAAATGTATGATCCCCAGTCCACCAGCCACCACCTCACCTACCCAGGTAATCCAGCCACTGCTTTGCTGAGAGTCCTCTCTGCCCTGGCTGCCTGTCTCTGCCCCTCCTACTGGTCTGAACAAATGTTTCTTCTTTAACTCCTTGGTTGTTGGACTTCCATACAGTTCAGTTTTCTGGCAGTTCTGGTTGTTTTCTGTGGTTAAACTCATTTTTGTCCTTCTTTTGGTTGTGCAAGGAAGCACAGTGTGTCTACCTATGCCTCCATCCTGGCCAGAAGTCTGTTATTATTATTACAAGAATAGAAAGCAGAAGATCTACTCTCTTAACAAATTTTAAGTGTGCAATATAATAACTATAGGTACATGACTATACATTAGATCTCTAGGACTAATGGATCTCTAATTTATCTTGAGTGACAAAAACCTTATACTTGTTGAACAGCAAATTCCCATGTCCCCCTCCCCTTAAACCTATCAATCACCATTCTATTCTCTGCTTCTATGAGATGCCTCTTATAAGTGGAATCTTACAGTAATTATCTTTTTGTGGCTGATTTCACTTAGCATAATGGCCTCCAGGTTCATCCATGTTGTTGCATGTGGCAGGATTTTCTTCTTTTTTTTTAAGGCTGAGTAATATTCCATTGTACATATAAACCATGTTTTCTTTATGCATTGATCTGTCAACAGACACTTAGGTTGTTTCCATGTCTTGACTATTGTGAATGGTGCTATGATGTGTCCTCCTTCTTCATTTCACCTTCTTCCTCCTTTGCTTGTGTCTTAATTTTGGTTAGAGCATTGGTCAATATTTACATTTTAACACATATATAAATATTATATCAACTGAAAATATACTGTAGTGGTTTTACGTCTCCTTTCTCTGTTTTGTTTTCCTGAGGTTAATAATTATCTTGTTCAAATTTGTTTAGTTTTCTATGAACTTATTACTAATTCAGCCACAAATTTTCTATGACAGAACTTGAAAACGTTCCTAAATATGGCAAACACATCAACTACTCTGTAAGTTACTTTTTATTTTTTTGAGATGTCCCCATAAGGCCTCTTTTTGTCCTCTTCTAATGTGGATCAATTGCCACCTTTACGATTGTCCTGCGACTTTCCTTCATCTTTCTCCTTTGTGCAATTCCTCTCTTTCCTGGGTCTCAGGTTTTCTCCATCCTTGGTTTCCTCTCTGTGGGCATGGAGATGCTTTTCTTTAACCACAGCATTCTAAAATTTCCTGGCACTGTGTGTGACTACAGATCTTCTCTCATCCATTGTGTGACATGAGTCCTTCCAATATGCTAAATTATGACCTATAGCTTTGAATTTTTTTAAAATTATTTTTTCTTAGTGTTGTCTTTCCCCTCTCCTAGAATTCCTGGTCATTGAAGTTTGGACCTTGTGAACTGATCCTCTCATTTTCTTTTTGATTTTCACCCTTTTATCATTTCAATTTAGTTTTCTAGGGGATACCCTCATCTTTATCCTCCAAAACTTTGATTGAATTTTTAAACCTTTCCATTCTCTCCATCTTTTTAGAATATTCATGGATTTTTAATTTGTTGAGTATTCTTTTTAAAGCATCTTGTTCTTATTTCATGGATAAATATTCTTCCTCAAATCTGTTTTCTTCTGTTTGACCTATAGTACCTCATCATGCGGAGCAAGAATTATTAATCTGCTATGTGCCATGATGAGCTTAACAGTGTGAGACAGACACCTAATCAGACAAATATATTCAAATGGATAGAGCAAAGTAAATTGGACTACAAAAACACAACTTGTGTTAAAACATAACTATTAAAATATTAAAACCCATATTTATAGTGAAATAACATGAATGTTAACCTAAAAAATTATCTGTAAGCATGTCTCATTATTTTTCAAAGCACATTTTTCAAATCTTTTCCAATTTCTTACCCTTTTATTTTTGTGCAGACAACTTCTGCACTAAGTAAATATTATTTATTAATGAGTACAATGCCTAGTGTTGCCTGAGGATTTTATAATCCAAAATCATGTTTAACATCAGGGTGGACTTGTCTGGAGGTGAAGAAAAATGGAAGGGCTAGTAGGCAAGAAACAAAATTTTAAAAAATAGTTCAAACCCTTTTCCAGTGGTCTATGTGGACAGTACTCAAAAAACAGAAAACGCTGAAATTTGGAATAGCATGTTTGGGGGACAAAAACTTAATTCAAATTAGAATATACTTAAAGACAAGAAAGCAAATTAACTGAAGAAATTTAATTTTGGTGTGTTAAGGCCCTCTGAAAATGAAGCTTGTTATTAAAAACATTGTGAAGGATATCTCTTAAAGGGTGGGATTAGAAATTGCATGTGAGGTTAACAGATAAATAAAATTTTCCTTTGTTTTGTTGTTGTCTCCCATCTTTCTACATGCATAAATACAGAAATTAAACAAGTACTTTTTGAAACTGTGACTTAAAAGGAGCATTGGGCAGTTGCCTAAGCAAATACCTCAACCTTTCTAATTTGTCCTTTGACCTTTGTAATTTCATTCTTTTGGATCTTGAAGTTTGCTTGTTTGTTTTTTTATTTTACCACTTTCCAGATTTTTAGGTATGTCTTCAAAGCATTAAATCTAAGCATCTACTATTATTTATCATATAACTACTAACAGATTGGTTGATAGGCAGTTGATAGCTGGATTCTAGGATCATACAATAGCAGAGACGTTTCTCATAGGGAAGACACAGGACTATATTCAGATGACTGAGACCACATTCTTGGCTGCACTATTTGGTTTGGGCATCAGTTTTGCAATTTTTGAAGGGGTATTGATTGATAATGTCTGCCCTGCATATGTTGTGAAGGTGTTAGATAGAATTGCACTGTAATTAATAAATGCTACCCTCTTGCTTAGTGCTTTCATGTGAGTCAGAAAGTCAGGAAGGTGAACTAGGTAAAGCAGAAAAGAATGTTAATTTTTAATGATTTTGCCCAAGATTGGCCTACAGTGCCAGTTTGGGGACTCAAAAGTGCAAAAGAAATTTAAGATGCAGTTTCTAAAGGAAATTTACAGCTAAATGTGTCATCTTTAATTTATCCACCAATCTCACAAAACTTCAGCAAGCAATCACCAAGTGCTTATTCTTCACCAGGTATAGAAAGAGCAGAGATGGATTTAATAAAAAGCAACAAAACCCTGTCATACCCCCACCCTCCTAGTCTAGTTTAGGAGTCCCACTGTTATGAATTATATTATCTCCATTCACTGACTTTTCTTCCAAACCATTGCTTCCCAAAGTGGCCAGGCCTCTAGTTGAAGAGAGCCTTTTCTGTCAAAAGACCCTTAAGTTTTCCTCAAGTAATGGAAAGGACAATTTTTTTGAAAGAACCTAGAAATTTGTCTGACCAGTTGTAAATTCTTAGCACATGCGCGTCTGTGTTCATTATGTATTTATTTGGAGGAAGTGGCATGGGCATGTGACAGGTGGTGGGAGGTCTGGCAATGTGGTAGCAGGAAGCAAGATTATTAGGAAATCACGAAAAACAAGCAATTAACACTTTTTACTGCAAAGCATCTTAGGGTGCCTACACAGGTTGTATAGTAAATTTATTGAAATCAAATCAATTTTAATTACAGAAAAAATATTTAGTGGAGGCCACATGCTGATCTTAGACGGCTCTCGCAAAACCCAGTGTGTGAACCTAACACACTGCGGTTTTGTGCGATGTGAAGAACACTGTTTTAGTGTTTTTCTTCTTATCTCTCCTTGCACTTCACATTACCTTCCCCTAGTTATCACCTCTACTCGAGAGGTTAATGCACAACAATTTCCACAGCAACATTAACAATGGAATGCTGTTTTCTACTTTTTGCATAATCAGAAGTATTACAAAGAGAATTATAATCAGAATCAGAAAATTTCTGTGAGCTTGGGCAAGCCACTTAATGTTTCAAAGTATCTGTAAAAACGGCAATAAGGGTAACTTGCCTACCTAGCCCATGTGAAGATCAAATAAAATCATTCCTGAGAAAGCTTTGTTTCGTTGTAGTAGGTGCTGTTTTTTTTTCTCCAGAAAGTGCCATGCAAATATATTATTAGTTTGATTGGTGTCATCTGTGCTCCTTAGCCTGCTATTTTGTTCGACGTGTGTCTTCCTCCTTGTGCCCCATTTAGGAGCTGCTCCACAAAATAGAAATAGATCATCTTTTGTGGATCCTTCTAACTGTGTAATGGAAACGCAGTGCCACGTAGTGCCACGGCGACACTCCCTCCCCATCACACTGAGGACAGAGCGGTGTAACCCTGTGGGAAAGACTGTCACGGCTCACAGTTTACCCGAGGCCCCAGACCTGTCTTCAGCCTGCAGGGTGATTTACAGTGCAGGCGACGGCGGGAGAGCACAGCGCTGTGATCAGAGGCACGAAGCTCACCTGCATGACAGAGTAGGCCATACACGATTCTATTCGAGGGACTCACCGTCTTCCCTTAAAGGTCTGAATAATGTAGTAGCAGAACAGCAAAAGAAAGTAATTTGGAAAATAAAACCAACCTGTTATTAAGTGATGCAGAACACCGATTGTTTCCAAAGTGTTCCTGGTTCTCCTTATAGTTTTAACTTTCTGTAAGACAAGAAAGTTCTGCATCACTTTCTGTGAACGACAGCAATGCCTTCTCTGTGCATGCCATATTACAGCTTCTAAAAAATTTTTATAAATACACTTTAATTCTTACGACATCTTAATAAAGTGAGAAGGGCATAGTCTCATTTTAATTTTACAGAAAGAGAGAGAAGGTTAAAAGCTTGCTCAGTATTATATAACTCAATAGTAGTGAATCAAACATAGGTCTTCGATTCGGTGATTTTGGTTTCATTTTTCTCCAGGAAACATGTTCTAAAAGCTTACAAAGCACTGCAAATTCCCTTGATGGCCATGAACAAAACATCCAAAAGTTCTTCAGTTTGAAATAGAAGAGATTCTAGAATTTCTCCACCAATGGTACCATCGTGAGCAAATGAAAAGGAAAGTAACCACAATATCACACAAAAATAAAAACATCACCATAATTATTTTAAAAAATTATTCGGTTAGGAAAGCAAGGCTGCTGGTTATCTGGTTGGATATATATCAGCTCACTGAATAAAGTTCAGAGTTGCAATCATCTTTTTCAGTTACCATTTAATAATTTCTGTTCCACTGGTGGTACAAAATGTACTCATTTTAAGAGGGAGAGTTGCAGGTTTGCACTGAGCTCAAAGTACATTCTTTGTTCCCTTGGTGATAAAAAGCCTCAGCCTGTCAAGTGACATAGTCAGTTCAGCAAAGAAGGAGGACTGTGCCTTCCAGTTCAGGTGCTGTGAGGACTCTTGGCAGAATCCCACTCATGTTTATTGCTGAACTCTGTCCTTTGTTACATGAGAAGGCAAAGCAAAAGGCGCTGCCTTTATGACGTCCAAAAAGTCCTCAGGAAGGTTCTGTTCCATGCTTATCTAATAATATAAAGCAGTTCTAACCAACAGCAGGCACATGGGAAAAAAGTTTGCTTAAAAGAATTTTAAAAGATGTTTATGTGGAAAGGGTATGGTATGCATGAAGATCCTTTGCCCTCCCTTTCACATCACGCTGCATTTACATAGCCTGAGATGGAGGCTGGGCAAGTACTTAGCCAGTGTGATCAGTGTTTATGGACAAGCTGGTTAATTTGGCTTTTAAATGTGGATTTTTAGCAACACGAGGTGGAAGGGCAAGAGAGTTCTTAAATAAATTTCTTTTTGTTTTTTAAGTTAAGTTGCAATTCCTGACTTTATTTCACATTACCACATGATGTTTTCCATATGAGCAGCATATGAGATGCTTCGAGCACTAGAAAAAAAGGCTAGGGTGAATGGGGAAGATTTTTTTTGGAGGTAGTGACATGTAGAATTTGGCCTAGTGTGATTAGATTTCAAGGCAAATACAGTAAGGAGACTATTCTAGAACCCAGGAGATGGGAGACAGGAGGAGAATATCCATTTCTGGGAATAAGACCAGTTTGTTGGGTCTAAGCCTTCACGAAACTGTGTATTCTATATCAAATAGAAAAACCTCCCCCAACTAAAAATTCTAATAATATACAATTCTAATAATAAAAGTCTAAAAATTCAACTAACATACAAATAATAATAATAAAATTTTAAAGATATAAACAGGTAAAGAAAATATGTAGGTATTCAATAAAAAAAAATCAGAGAGGCTGATAAGGGATTAAAGATCCCACTGAGGAGGAGAATGGGCATCCAGAGACTCGGTGCTGTTGCCCTTGGGGACTTTGCTGATTTCTACACAGCTGAACTTTGATTTTGTTTTGACATCAAGTGCTCAGTGTACTCTCAGTGGGGAGAGTCAGGTGCGATCCCTGTCCCTGCTAAACGGAGATTCCAAAGGGCCGCAGCACTGTGTTTGAGATAACAAGAGGCGAACTCATTCACTCCCCACCACCACCCAAAAGAACCCCAGACGTCTGCATTGCTGCTGAGCAGAGCAGAGGGGAAATGAAATCTTTCCCTCAGAAGCTGTTTACAAACTGGTGCTCGTGAAGGTGTGCAGTCTGCATTGACATCATCTAAGTAGTTAAAAAAATATCACACCAGGATTTTAGTTTAATTTTAATCTAAATGGGTCTTAGACTAGTAACACCTCCAGGCTCCTGACAGAAATATAAATACAAATGCTTTCTGAAAGAAAGTACCTTTATTCAAGGCCCCAAAGGTTCTCCACACATAATGTTTCAAGGACAATGTGCAGCCAAACTCTAAAATCATAAAGCATATAAGAAAACAAGGTAGTAGGTCTGAGAAAAAAGAAAAATAATAGAAACAGAGCCATAAGACAGTGGATGAGAATTATCAGCAAGTATTTTATAATATTATATGTGCTAAGTGTAAATAAATAAGAAAAAGCTTTCAAATACCTGGAGGGGATAGGTAACTATAAAATAACTAAAGCAGATTTAGTTAACACAACCAGATTTTTAAAAGAATGATAATAAGTTTTAGAAATGGAAATTATAATAATTATTAACAACTAAATGGACAGACTCTTAGAACTGTAAGATAACAACACAGTTAAAAAGTGGGCAAAAGATCTGAACAGAAACCTCACCAAAGAAGATATACAGATGGCAAATAAGCATGTGAAAAGATGCTCGACGTCGTATGTCATTAGGGGAATGTCATCAGAGATACCACTACACACCTATTAAAATGGCCAAAATCCAAAGCACTAGCAACACTAATGCTGGCGAGGACGTGGCGCCTTCCCAGATGTGGCAGCCACCAAGATGCCCTCCAGCAGGTGAACGGACAAACAAACTGCTACATCCATGCAATGGAATATTGTTCAGTGTTAAGAACGGATGAGTTATTAAGCTATGAAAAGGCATGGAAGAAGTTTGAATGCATATTGCTAAAATGAAAGAAGCAAGTCTGAACTATATCTAGGGAAAGGCAAAAATGTAGAGACAGTAAAATATCAGTGGTTGCCAGGGGCTGAGAGGTGGTTGAAAGGAGAAGGAGTGTTGAGCAGGTGTAGCACAGCGGGTATCAGGGCAGTGAAACTACTCTGTATGCTGTTGTAATGGCAGATATGTGACATTATGCGTTTGTCAAAACTCAGAGAACAGGAGACACAAAGAGTGAACCCTGATGTGAACTCAACTTCAGTTCATAATGATGTTTCAGTTGAAACGGATGTACCACTCTAATGCAAGGTGTTACTAATTGGGAAACTTGATTTACATTTTCACCTACTGAAGGACATCTTGGTTACTTCCAAGTTTCGACAATTATAAGTAAAGCTGCTATAAATATTTTTATAATTTCTTTGATGAAGTTTCTGTTCAGATATTGTGCCCATTTTTAAATCAGGTTTGTTTTCTTATAGTTGAGTTGTAAGAGTTCTTTGTATGTTTAGTATTTACGATAACAGTCCTTTATCTGACATGGGTTTTGTAAATATTTGCTCCCTGTCTGTGCCTTATCTTTTTATTTCCTTGACAGTGTCTTTCACAGGGCAGAGGTTTTAATCCTGATAATATTCAGTTTATCAGTTCTTTCTTCTTTATATAGTGCCTCCAATGTTGCATCTAGAAGGTCATTACTGTACCCAAGGTCATCTAGGCTTTTCCCTATGTTCTCTTCTAGGAGTTTTTAAACATACTTTTACTTTTTATTGGAGTTCAGTTGGAACAGGAAAGAGAGAATTGAGTAGAGGCAATGTTGGGGGAGAAAATGGCTCAGAATTTTTCAAAACTAAAGCGGGAAAAGGGTCCCAGAGGAGGAGAACCTCTGTATCCACTGTACATCCCTTCTGTTCAGGATTGAGAGTAGGAGAGTGGGAGCAAAGTGGAGGGGAGTGTTTTCTTATTTCTTCATTGCTGCTCACTGAACAGCTGCTCTGGGGTCCATTTACTTTTCGGAGGAGGGTTGGGAGACGCTTTCCCTGGGAAAAGGAAAAAAGCAGCTCCATTCACTCCTATCTTTTTGTCAACCTTAACTCCAGGTAGACAGACTCATGATATGTTCTAAAAACAAGGGTTCTTATCTATATCCATGCAAAGAATTACTTAGTAACTAAACCCATGACTCCCTAAAGAATATCACATAAGTCACATAATTCTCTGGAGTATAAAGTGGAGATATTTCATAATTTAAGCACCCCTCGTGCTGTGGAGGTAAACCTGAAAAGGCTCATCTATTATTGAGTCAGAGAGTACATCTCTGATGTGGAGAGAGAGGACCCTCTGTCGGCTTTGCCCGGGCATCTTGATCGACCCCCTTCTGAAATTGTTACTCAAGCTTATGAATGGTTATGTACTGTTCTAGTGAGTCTGATCTGACAACTGACCTTGTGTATCAGCCCACTCACAAAGGCAATAAGAATTCAGTGTGTGGTGCTGCAGTGCTTTATGCTGCTGACCCACGTGGGCAGGCTGGGCGGCAGAGAAATAGGCAGCCAATAATTAGCTTTCGGAAATTCTTCTGGAACATTCTAGAATCTGTGAATATCTTTGTGTTATCTCTGATATAAAATCAATATATTTGACATAATATAAAAATGGAAGAAAATACCCTAGAAAAAGATTGCAAGGACATAGTGCCAAAATAGTAGCAGCACTTATCTGGGGGTAGTGATGTATGGGGTGATATTCTTTTTTTATTTTATTTTATCTATTTTACCAAACTATTTTATAACTTCAGGCATATTTAATTTCATAAGTCATAAAAGATAAACTTTAAAAACTATAATCAATCTTCTATGATACAAATTCATGGCACTTATACTTAAGAGGTACTCAGCACAAGAGTAAATGGAAATACACCATATGTTACCTAAGATTTTCTTGAAATTGTTGGGAGTTGAATGATTTGTTTATGTTTTCAGTGTTCCTAAAACTTCTATAATGAGCATACATTATCTTTGTAATGAAAAATAAGCTAATTTTCATGGCATTGTATGTAATATGAAATATATTTTGGACAGGACATTTCTTCCTGTCTTTCTCTTTTCAACTCATTTATTTCTCTACAATAACAGTTAATATTCAATCATAGAAAAAATGCAAAGCTTATAGACTTCAGTGTTAAGAATCAATGATCTCAAAGCCACCAATTCCTTTTTCCTCCTATGAGATTCTATTAAAATGCTATTGATTTTATATTTCTATATCTTTATTTAATCCTACACATACATGTTTTATTTTGGCTATTTGCGATGATAAGGAAATTAGTCCAAGAATTTTAAAGAACTATCTTCCTCACAACCATCTAAAGAATAGACTTTTTATATACTTTCTTTAACCATTGTGAAGAAATGTAACATTTCTACTTTACAGCTGCAAAAATATAAGGTAAGTGCCCCCTCTCTCTTCTTCCATCATGTTCTAAGCACTGTATCAACTTCCTAAAAATAGTTAGTCCTATGTTTATTTTTGCTCTTGGATAGCAGTTTCAGGGAAACAGCTTGGGAACAAACGAAAACATTCAGTCTAGTGTCAGAGCCAAGAGCATAGGCTCAAACATATCTGATGACACTGCTTTGCTCAGTTCCATGGATACAACCTAACCTTTGCTGGCGTCTGCTGGAAAGGACAATGGAAGTACACAAATCTATTACTATCCATTCAAATAGTCCCTAGCATAATCTCTAGCAACAAGCATGATGTGTGAGGGGGTGGGGGAGTCAGGAGTGTTCAACAGTGAGCAAGACCAGCCCTGTCCCTACTATTACCTAATCTTACATTGTAGTGAAAGAGGGGGGCATTAAAGAAACAATGACAAAAGTAAGTATATACTTATAAACTACAATAATGGCTGTAAAGAGTCTTATGGAAAAACAGTGCAGGGGGACCTGGTTTGGGCTGGAGAGTCCAGATAGGCCTCTTTCAAAATGACCATTAACCAGGCCGGAAATGTGCCTAGGAGCAGAGAGAATGCCTGAGTCAGACAGAAGAAGGGAGAAGGTCCCGAGGAAGGAAGCGGTGTGGATATTGGAGAAACCATAGAAGCCCAGGGTGGTTGAACCAAGTAAGTGAAGGAGCATAAAATGAAGGACAGGCCCAGTGTGCAGGAGCTCAACGGCTTTCAGGAGTTTTTACCCTGGAACAACAGAAATTTATTTAAGGATGTGGACCAGGGGAATAACCCTCCTGGGGAAGTAAGACTGATGCTATCTTTACATTCAAAGCAGATTTGCGTCAAGGTCGAAGCCCTAGGTTCCATCTCTTTGAAGACATAATTCTGTGTGGTCTGTACATCAGGCATAATCGAGTTTGAGTATATGGAATCAAGTAGTTCTTATAACACAGTGGATCACGCCTCAGGCTTTGAGTTCAGACCATCCTGGGTCAGCTACTTCCTGGGCAAATGACTCTAGGTAAACTTCTAAAGATGTACAATTCGAATAGGAATTTATTGTTGTGAAAGCTAAATGAATAATGCATGTAAAAATTGAACATGTTCTCTGCTACATAGTATGCAATCAAGAGCTATAGTTATTACTCTTGACTCACTGCTGTAGGAAAAGAATAAAATCATCACATAGCCGTCCTTTCTGCTCCTCACACAAACTAATGCTGGGTGCATTTTTAGTGAGCTAAATTGTACTCA